TCTGTCTGTCAAATAAATAAATAAAATATTTTTTAAAAATTAAAAAATAAAAAAAATATAGAATCCAAAGAATTAACTGAGGTATCCAACCCAATAGCATTAAAGTCTTTTTTTCTTTTTACAGCTTTATTGAGATATAAACTACATAAAATTCACTTGTTGTATGCAGTAATATTTAGTATTCATAGAATTGTGCAACGATTACCCATTCCATTTTAGAAGATTACCTTTACTTTAGTAAGTTTCCTTGAGCCCATTTGTAGTCAATCCTTGCTCCCACTCCTAGCCCCCACAATCATAGATCAGCTTTGTGTCTTTTAGAAATTTGCCTTTTCTAGACATTTCGTCTAAATGAAATTATACAATATGGAGTCTTTGGCATCTGACTTTCACTGTTTTTTTTTTTTTTAAGATTTTATTTATTTATTTGACAGGCAGAGATCACAAGCAGGCAGAGAAACAGGCAGAGAGAGAGGAGGAAGCAGGCCCCCTGCTGAGCAGAGAGCCCGCACAAGGCTTGATCCCAGGACCTTGGGATCATGACCAGAACCAAAGGCAGAGGCTTTAACCCACTGAGCCACCCAGGTGCCCCCGACTTTCACTGTTTTTGAGATTTATCTATGTTGTAGTACATATCAGTATGTTATTCCTTTTTATTGCCAAAGGGTTCTCCATTGTATGAATATACTGCATTTATCTATTCACCAATTGATTATTTTTAGTTTTTGGCTATTATGGATAATGCTGCTATGAACACCACACATAAGTTTTTGTGTAGACAGACTTTCTCATTTCTCTTGGGTAGATTCCTAAGAATGAAGTTGCTGGATTGTATGGTTAAGTTTATATTTAACTTTAGAAAACTACTGTTTCCCAAAATGGTTGTAATATTTTATGTTCATATTGGCAAAGTCTGAAGGTTCAAGTTTATCCCTATCTTTATCCACATTTGTCATTGTCTGATTTTTTGTTATAGCCATTCTAGTGGGTTTGTGGTGTATCTTAAATCACTTTGGTTTTAGCTTACATTTACTTACTGTCTAAAGACACTGAGCACCTTTTCCTGTGTGTATTAGCCATCTGTGTATCGTCATAGAAATGTCTGTGCAAGTCTTTTGCTGTTTATTAGTTGGATTCTTATTGAGTTGTAAGAATTCTTTATATACTATGGATACAAGTCCTTTCTATGATTTCAAACATTGCCGTTCAATCTGTGGTTTGTCTTTTCATTCTTTTAATGCTATATTTTGAAGCTCAAGAAATTTTACTGATTATATTTATGAATTGAAATTTAATAATTAGATTTGTCAATTTTCTTAATGACTTTGTCTTTTGGTATCATGTCTAGGATTTTTTTTAAAGTATCTATGTATTTATTTAGAGAGCAAGTGAGAACACTTGTATTCACATTCTAAGACTTTTGCATTTCTATGTAAATTTTTGGATCACCATGTCTGTCTCTACAAAAAAAAAAAGCCTAACAGGATTTGTCAAAAGTTGTGAAAATTCTGAGGTTTTACCCTATTGCAAACTCACAAGTTACAGAAAGTTTGCAGACTCTTATTTTAACCTAACATCCAGGCTCTTATGTCCCAATTCCATTTTACTTTTCTTACATTACTTCCTACAGTGGTAATTCCAGTCACCTGGCCTTGCATATAAATAATGGAGCATACAGTGAGTACATCTAGCTGATAACAAATACACCTTTTTCCTCCCCTCTTCCTAAAATTGTAAATCTGATTATCTTCATATATGAACTTAAAATACGGAAAATGTAAAGGGAGTAAGTGGTTTGTAATATTGTAAGTACGTATAATACAGTGTATCTTTTTGCTCATGAATATTATGTACTATAACTATTGTTTCTATAGTCTAATCAAAACATTTTCTTGGTGTTAAAAAACAAACAAACAAAAACCAAAAAACAAACTTCCTATTCATTCTTTTGAATGGCTCATTGTTGTCCCTACAAGATACACAGCTTAGCCATTTATATGCCTTTGTTGGTCTCTTCATAAGAATGTCTTTTCTTGGGGCACCTGGCTGGCTCAGTTGGTAGAGTCTGGGACTCCATCTTTGGATTATGAACTTGAGCCCTGCGTTGGGCAATGAATTTACTTAAAAAAAAAATGTCCTTTGCTACTATTTCTTCATGCACGGATCCTATCTATTCTTCAAGGCTCCAGATCAAACATCCATCCTCCCCCTTTCCTGCACCCTCTTCATCTCTTCAGTTAGAAGTAATCTTTCCTATCTCTGACTTCCCACAGCATATCATCTCTATTTCCTTATGACCTGTTTTGCTTTCCCTTTGTTACACATCTCATTAAAGTCAGTAGAATCTGCATATTAATAATGCCTGTGCCTCCCCTAGAATTTTTACACAGGGTCTTAATTTATGTTTGCCGCATAGGGATAGCGTTCTGTTGGTGTTAATGTGATTTTTCTGTTCCTGCCATTAGGTGACAGTGGTCAAACCTTATAGTAAAAAGAAATCCCAGGCTTTAAAGTTAAATAGGATTTTGGGTCTGTGGCTTATCATTAATTTGTTGAGCAAGTATTCAACGAGAAGTCCATTTTCTTCTCTGCTGTGAAACAATCTTGTCTTAGCATGCTACGTGGTGCAATAATACAGACAACCAAAGGAATTTATTTGTTTATTGCTTCTGTATAAAACTTCTCGTAAGGGGTACCTGGGTGGTTCAGTCAGTTAAACGGCTGCCTTTGGCTCAGGTCATGAGCTCAGGGTCCTGGGATCAAGCCCTGCATCTTGCACCCAGCTCCACAAGGAGTCTGCTTCTCCTTCTCCCTTTGCCACACCTCCACCAACCCCCTACCCCTGCTCAGGCTCCCTCTCTCCTTTCAAATAAATAAAATAGTAAAAAAAAATTATCTTTATTTGTAATCTTTCTGGTGTGTATTGTGATATTGTAGAAGATTTTCATTAGGGGTATGAACCTTGCCTCAGTCAGCCAGCTAACACAAATGATTGTGCAGTTTGTGATGATCTGAATTAATGGCATTACCTATTAGACATATAGATGTTACCAATGCTCCCCAAAGTAATATTTGATAGGTTAACTTTTTTTAAGCAAACGATAGTGATAGCTTTCTTAGATTTTTATACTTCCTTGCTTCTTCCCTCCTTCCCTCCATTCCTTCAGTCCTTCCTTCCTTTGAATAACAGAATGAAATAGCTATAGGCCTCTCAAAGCAAGGTAAATGTTTGGATTCCAGTATGGAGCAAAGTTTTCATATTTCATCTAAAATTTTTGCTGACATGATTCTTCCAATGTTTCCTGGAGATTTTCTGGAACTTGGACTAGAACTTGTGAATTATGCTAAGCAGAACACCTGATTGGCCCACAGCAAGGTTACAGCTACTTTTTGTTTTCCTAATTAAGCGTTGAGCTTATTTGTAGGGAGGATAGAGTGAGTCAAAATTAAACTACTGTATATATAAATATAATATGAAAATAATGTGCCTAAAGGGAGATTGGTGGGAACTCTATAGAATACCAGTCTTTCTGTAGGAAATTATAGCTTCTACTTTAATATAGGGACAGGATTCCTGTTTGACAGACCTCTCTAAACCTAACTTGGACTATCGAATTACCTCCTTTGATTTTTAGCTTACAGAAGAAAATTCTGACAATAAATCAAGATTGGTGAAGTTTTTGTTGTTTTGTTGCCTGAGGATTTTTCTAACCGTTCTCCCTGGGAGTCCTTGTATAACAAAAATTCTCTTAGATCCCTCTTCTTAGAAATCCTCAGATTTTTGGTAATTTCCGATGCAGCAGAGATGTTGGCAATAATAATTTGGCATACTGTAATAATAACCTGTTTCTCTTACGTCTCTGATACGTGACTGTACTTAGACGAGGAAAGAGGGTAGTCACTATCCTGTATCCTGCAGCAAAACTCATCTCCTTAGCATAAACCTGGGTTTGGAAAAACACTTCACAGGTGGGAGACTGAGAACTTTTTCTCTTCCGAAATAACGATTACAAGCTCTTCGACAAAGTTCTTTCCGCAAGATCTGTTTTCATACCAAATTACTCAAACCCATCCTCTTCCTCTTTTGCGTCCTCTGCTGGCAACGCCCCTCCTACTCTTCTCAAAACTGGGGAACTCTTACTCATCCTTCTCCCCGGTGGAGTCTTTCCTCAACATGGCAGGCAGAGCTCCCTCTCTGCTCCCGCAGCTCACTGCGTGCGACCGGGTTTTTATCCCAGCAGAGTGGGTTCACATTTTCCGGCTCCTCTCGCCCACGCGGTGTGAGCTCGCGGAGCGGAGACCACCTCCCTTATTCCCCGCTTCTCCCCCCGCCCCGCCCCGCCCCAAGCCCTACGGATCGTCCAGCGTTGGACACACCGTAGGCTCAGTGAAGTTGTTTGACTGAAACTCCGTGAAGGGCGACCTTCTGCCCCCAGGAGCAGAATATGCGACCCACGTTCCTCTCGACGTGGGCTAGGCGGTCCAGCCGCTGGAGTTTCAGCTGGCGGCCCGGTTCCCGCCAAGCCAGCTTTTAAAAACAAACAGCCGCGGACACCGGGCGTCCGCACGACGGCCTTTCACGGACCCAGGTGAGTTAATACCCGCCAGCTGAGTCCGCTGTGGCGACGTCGGAGTTTGCTCAACTGAGGGAAACGATTTCCCCGGGCACACCTGGTCCCAGAGCTATTTCTCTAACTCTGGGTTGGAAACGCTGTCCGTTTTTTTTTTTTTTTTTTCCTAACGGTGACAGGAAGTCGAAGGAAAAACGTGGGACTCAAAGGTTTGGGGGTAACTCTGTTCGCAGCCACTCAGATTTGAGGATCTCCTTCCAACCCCAGATTAACGTCCGTGAGGATAGGTTCCCAGCCCTCTGCGACCCCAGCCCCCAGGCACAAAGCCCAACCCAAGCTGCCGCTCCCTCAATTGCCTACACCCTCGGCGCCCCGCCCGCCCCCGGGCGTTGAGCTGCCATTCTCGCGAGAACACGACTGGCCTCGCCTCCTCGGACTCAGGGCTCTCGCGAGAAGAGGCTTAAGAGCCGGCCTGTAACCTGCCCGGGCGGCTCTGCTAGCCGCAGCCGCCTGAGTGGCCGCCGCCACAGACACCTCCGGAGGGATCCAGTTGAGGAGGAAGCGGGGGTGTCCCTGACCCCCGCCTTTGCCTGCGCCCTCCGTGGACACACAAGAGGGACTGCAGGTTCGAGGGTGACTGGGCTCAGCTGGGGAACTCGGTGGGGGCGGCGCCGGAGGCTGGGCTTGGCTGGGCAAAGGAGGAAGGGGGCGGAGGGCTAATCTGGGCTTGAGCGCCCGGCTGCTGTGGCGGTGGTCTGGGCGTCCCGGACCCTGCTAGGAGACTGTGGGTGGGGTTCTGGGCTCCGGCAGCTGGCAACCGGTTCGGAGAGCCAAGGATGGGACTTGGGTTTTCGGGGTGCTGTTTTTGGGTTGGGAGTCCCGAGGCCTTTCTCCGGGGATGAAGGCGATACCCTCCTCATCCCTCCTTCCCAGGGCTGAGCTGCCCCGTGCCCCGCCCCTTTTCCTGTCACCGCTGGGCTAACGTAGCGACATCCTCAGGAGGGCGCATCACAATAGGGGATAGAGTAGCAGGGATTCTCCCTTTGGGTGAAGAGGAGTGAGACTCCTGTAATGTGCTGCGTGGTTTTATGCTTTAACAGTATCGCGTATGGTAAAGCTTTGTTTTCCCAAACACTGCACAGAAAAGCTGCCCATTTTTTTCTTCTTCAGATGCAAGTCCCCTAACACGCGTTTTCCTCGTTAACGGGGTGCAGGGAGAGGAGACATCACTTGGTAATTTGTTAGTGTGGGGTCAAGGAGACCATCCCTGGGTCTCCTAGGTCTCGTACAGTAGTTGTCAGTATTTAGAGTCCGTGATGAAAAGTTCACACTTGCCAAAGCTAGAGCCTCACTTGTCTCTTTGGGCACTTAGCATATAAAAATTATTTTAAAATTTCTTAATCTTCAAGCGTTTTCATGCTTTTTATTTAAATCCCAGTTAAGCAGCCTAGTATATTGATTTTGGGGGGCAATTAGGCATCCCCCTTCTCCCCCCCGCACAAATATGACCAAGAATTTTTTGAGAGGGGGACTTAAGGGTAAATTTTGAATGAAATAGACTGTAGAGATTGGAATAAGAGGTCTAATGAGTAATGCAACCGTAAGGGCCAAAAAAAGTTTCTGTGCTGGAGAAACCGTCCAGGACTGAAGTCCAAGCCTTGAAAATGAGGACTGTAGTTGTCACGAATGTAAAGTGGAAAGCCGTGGAAAATACTTGGGAAAGGATTTGATGTTGATGAAGACTTCAAAAGTGCATGAGAATTATTTCCAAAGGTGTAAATGTGTTTTATAAATATCCCCAAATTTCTCAGATTTTATGACCTGTCTGCTATTGTTATATATAAAGAGAAACTTAAGGGGAGGATCTGGAGCATGGAGAGTGGTAAGGAATCATGGAGTTAACATAGTGCTCCATCAGGAAGGTTTTTATTGTCTCTGTGTTTTTGAGTTCTTTCACCTTTTTTTTTTTTTCTCCAGACAAGCTTTCAGATGGGTTTTTTACCTTTATGTCACCCTTTACCAGTCTGAATTTTTATCTTTCTTACCTTTCTTCTAAGCCTTGTGAAAAAATTTTATTAACTATTAAGTTGCAAACCAGCAAGATCTACTTTGTAGTTTTTTATGTTTAGGTGACTTGGTGAAATGTGAGAGGGAGCTGGGAAATGTGCACCTTCCATAGGAGTATGTTAAGAATAGCAAACTCACATGCCTGCAGGTACTAGGCAGATGAGAATGAGTGAACTGAAGTAGGGAGCTTATGCCTCATCTTAGAGGGACATTCAGTTATCAGGTCCACCTGATTAGTGCCATACGTGAATGTGGGCCCAATTTTCAGCCTTTTTAATAGAACACAGGAAATCTAGATTTTTACTTGCAGTCTCTTGATTGTTAAAAATATTGACAACTACTTAAAACAATTAAAAAATAATCTAATGTGGCCCAATCAAACCCAAGCTTGTCAGTAGTTGTATCCTGCTTTCCAGTTTTGGACCTCTGTTTTAGGTCAGAATGAATAAATTATATAACTGGGAGAAAAAAGAAGATTTAAAGCAAATATATCAATTAGTTTAGAATTTCAAACCTAGGAGGATTTGAGAAAAATGTCAAATTCAAAACAGAAATCGGAGGAGGAGACAAACCATGAGAGACTGTGGACTCCGAGAAACAAACAGAGGGTTTTGGAGGGGAGGAGAGTGGGGGATTGCGAGCCTGGGTGGGTATTATGGGGGGCACGTATTGCATGGAGCACTGGGTGTGGTGCATAAACAATGAATTTTGGAACACTGAAAAAAAATAGAAGAAAATAAAATTTTTTTTTTATTTTTTTTATTTTTTTTTTATTTTTTTTTTAAAGATTTTATTTATTTATTTGACAGAGAGATCACAAGTAGGCAGAGAGGCAGGCAGAGAGAGAGGAGGAAGCAGGCTCCCTGCTGAGCAGAGAGCCCGATGCGGGGCTCGATCCCAGGATTCTGAGATCATGACCTGAGCCGAAGGCAGCGGCTTAACCCACTGAGCCACCCAGGCACCCCGAAAATAAAAATTTTAATAGCCGAATTTAATAGCCTTGAAGTCCAGTATAGCAAATGGAATTGGTACTTTTTTAATGTTTTAACTATGGAAACAACTGAAGAAGAAATTTCTCAGTATTTATGGTTTAATAACTAAAGGTTCTGAACAAAGCTAATTTACAGGTATCTTGTAAGGAAATTGATTCACCAAGAGGCCTCCTGCTGTACTTGCAATTAACACATGAAATTAAATTCTGGAGACCCTCTATAACTCATCTGTAGTTTTGAATGTTTATTGGTTGCTCTGCCATGGCACATTGTCTTCCCAGTCATTGACTCTTACTGGAAGCAATATTAATTTCTTGGGTTCTGTTCCTGGCAGATGGGGTGAGGGGAGGATGTATAGGGATAGAAAGAAATGGGTTGGAGGTGTGTAATGTGAAGCAGGCACTCCTGATCCTCCTCTTTACATTGTACGTTAAAAACTTGATTTAACTAGTTGTGCATTACACATAGTAGTTTAGTGATATTTGTAAAATTGAACCCAGTGGTTAGTTTTTTCTTTTAAGAATAGCTACTTTTAAGAATAGTTACTTTGACTAAACACAGTGCATTACACATAGTAGAGCTTAGTGATATTTGTAGAGTTGAACCCCGTGGATTAAGGCACATTTACCCATTAGTGGGAATCACATAATCTGATTCATATTTAGTTGGACTGAGGGGAATGGAAGTTTAGAGGTCAGACCCAGAAAGAAGTGGACCTTAGGCATATTGAAGGCAAGGTGGGGAGTCTTTGGAGGGGACCAGGGTGAGAGAGGAGTCTAGGTGAGGGAGAGAGTTTTGAAAAGGAAGATGAAATGGTAAAGTACCCTTTCATCTACTGTGCAGTTTTACAAAGAGCTTTGCCTTTTACAGCTAAATTTACTGTAACTCATACAAGGACTACAGAGAATATTGGTTTTTCATGAGGACCTCTTCGGTAGTTTGCAAACTTGGTTTTCTTCCTTTTAACCCGGTCTTCTCAGGTTAGACTAGTCTATTAATCTCTTCATCCAGTCTCTCCACCTCTCTCTAGTATAAGAAGTGAAACAGGAGATATGTATTATGTTTGTGAGGTGTTGCTGTTTGAAAGTTTTAAAAACATTTTGAAGAATCTGTTGTGTACTTGTGGCGATTGTTTGTTGAAGGGAGAAGCATTCTGCCCCACCACCCCCTTTCTACCATGACTTGTAAGTAATTCTTTGAAGTAGCTCCCCCCACCCCCGCTTTTTTTTTTTTTAACCCCCTGAAATGCCTTCCCAAGAAAGCATTAGGTGAAATGAGGAGAAGGGATTCAGTGTGTTTTTGCTCAGTGCCTTCTGGTTCTGTTTTTGGAACTCCCAGTTCTTAGGATATACATTCTCTTTATGTCTGTATGGTAGACTTATCTGAGCAGGCTGGGCCCTATGAGGGAAAAGGAAATGGTATATCTACAAATCTAAGTAAGTTTAATTTACGTTTTAAATAATAGGAAGCTTTCTTGGCCACTGGTTTTAGCTGTATTTTTATCTTTGTCTGACTCCTCAATTTTGTTTCTTTGTTGGTTATGAACCCACAGTGAGGGAGGAAAAGGTAGTTTGTAGGTGTTCACTAATGGAAGAAGAACGATTTAAGAATTTTTTTTTTCCTCCTTTTGGATAGAATGTTTGTTAGGGTTCAAGCTAATGTTGCATTTTTCCTATGGCTTTCTCTGGTTTACTCTGACATACTTGAAACATTTCCTTGCTAAGCAGGCAGTAGTCTAGAGCACAGAGACAGAAGGCAATCAGAATTCCGAGAACCTGGGAGAGAATTAAGAGGTTAGTAAATGTTAGTTGTAGGTGATGGCAGTACAGTGAGCTGAGTACTTGAAATAGTATGAACTTGATCATAAAAGAAGAAAGATTTTGTGTGGAATACATGACCTTATTGTCACAGTAGATTGCTAAAAATCACTAAGATGCTGAAAGATATCTTTGCTAATGAAAGCATCTTTCTTTGCCCTTAATTCCTAGTTTATATTTTTCTGTTTGAAAATGTAAAATATCTGGCACTTGGTACTTATTTTTGTCTTTATAGTTGAAATCAATTATCTATTAATATTTTTGGTCGCAAATTGAGATTAACATTTAGTTTTTGGCTGGGAATGAGAGTCTCATAGTGAATCACTGATTGAAGTACTTGATTAGAAAGTATGAATAACACTTTTCTGAGGTCATTTTAAATTGTAAACACACTTCTCAGCTTGTAATACCTTATTTGGGATCATTTAGATCTGGATTTAAAGCCAAATGTTAGTAAGCTTTATGAGGTTACTTCACCTCTATGAGCCTTTGTTTCCTTACATAAAAGATGGAGAGAGAATGAAAAAAGAATTTGAGAATAAAATAAAATAAAACATGTAAAAATGCTATGTAAATAGTAAAGTGAGTATTACTTTTTAGCGCTTTGTTCTGTGTTTATGCTCAGAAAATAGCCTATGATCTTAAAACACATCCATCAGGTAAATTTACATCCAGCTATCTCTTCTGCAGGGAAACAAGTTCAAATGGTTATTTATAGCCTTGCCATATGACTTCCACTAGGAATTAAA